GTTTAAAAAAAAAGGAATCTAAGACTTTGTGTCTGAACAAAAAATATCTAATCTAGATCCTAAAATTAATCCTTTCAATGTAAAATCAACTTCTGTATTTAGAAGCGTTCGAATATCGTAAGTAAATCACTTCGTGATATATTCATACAGACAAATTGGCTTAAAAGTACATTGATTCAAGGTTGTGTGACAACAGGTAATACGATTGAAAATGTACGTCGATCCACGATCCACATAAGTGAGTTTTGTATTGAAATGGAAAGAAAACGTATGGAGCATCTCTAATGAATGTGAAAACAAACCTTTATATTTTTCTTTGAAAACATTGATGTTAGGATCTATGTTGATTCGATATTTTTTACTTCATTCGGTATGTATTGTATAAAACACATACCGAATAAATGGTGTGCAATACTATAAGTACCTTACGATGCGTATCCATTTGTTGCGTATCCTCGTATCGTATCATCGTTGTTGCGTATCATCGTGTCGTATCACCATACATTTCCATATGCAACAACGAAACGCTTGCCCGTCCACATTGATACACAACGGTGATACGATACGAGGATACGCAACAACTGGATGCGCACCTTTAGACCTTTTTTTTTTTTTAACATTCCGTATAAACAGACGTTAAAAAGAATTTACTGTTAGGTTACTCACTGTGTTTATTTCTATCAGTTTATGAACCAATCTTTATGACTCTTTTTTTTTTATTAAAAAATGTTCTAAATCATAATATAATATCGATCGATAAACATTGATTGGCAAGTGACAGTCGAAGTAAACACAAAATATTCCGAACAACAAAGATACGGGTAAATCGTGTTCTGGACCTCTCGTCTTAATTCCGTGCCACGTCCATTCGTCAAATTCTCTCCTATTGATCATACTTGATCACAGACTCGCGGAGAAAGCGGAAATCGGTTGATTAATCGTTAAAGAAAAAAAAATAAATTAATCATCGATCGATTACGACGCCCAGTGCATAAACATGGTCGCCTTCTTATCTAGTATGTCTGCGGGCTCGGTGATAAATGCCCCACCGTGAACGATCGGTGGAAAGATCCCGTTGATCGCGAAACGAATCCGCGACCGTGGGGGGAATTTAACCGTATCCACGTAGATATCCACCGGCAATAATTCCTCGCCATTTTTCCGCAAGTTAATTTCTCATCCGCCATTCTGCGATGAGAGAGAGAGAGAGAGACACAATCACACACACATACACATTGTGGCGAAACGTGGGAAAGCTCTCGCCCAGGGTTTATTACGGCGATGCAACGGAGTCTTTTGTAGTCATGCTCGGGCCTAAAAGAAAAATTTTCCATGTGCACACACGCACACCGACACAGTGGTGTACAGGTATCAGTACCTGGCAATAATTTCCTCTAGCCACCTGTAAACCGATCACGGTTGGAATCCAGAGCGTCCGGCTTTCTAAAAACCGTAAGTAATGCGGGAAGATCGTCTCGATCGATTAAAGAAACTGCTCCGAGGGATCGACCGACGGTTTCTTACCGCTGCTGTGTGCTCGTGATCCAACCAAGCCGATAATTGATTAATGGAAATAAAGGGCGTATAAACGTGTGTGCGTGTGTGTGTGTGTGTGTCTGTGGAGGGAGACAACGAAGCCGAACGAAACAGGCAGAGCCCAGTGTAAAAGTTAGATCGGAATGCGCACGTTAAAACAACCAATTATCCTTGTTTTTCTTTTTACCCGTTCGGAACGGTTGTTCTCTGTTTCTCGATGTATATGTATACGAGGTGCGCGCAACCGAGAACTCGTTGAAGCGTATTTAATGGGAGGAAAGTGGGTAACGTTATTGTGGAATATTGGAATGTCCGTTGGAATAACTAATTACTGTTATCTTTTTCTTCTCATCTTCTTTTTCGTTAAATTACCTCGCTTGTCTCTTGTCCTGGGAGTTGAAGGAAAATACTGGGGATCTTTGTACTTTTTATCGTGTTCGACTGGCTTTTTACGAGTCTTCTCGGTTCGTCGCTCTGAAAGGACCTCCCTCTGTACCTATTTAATGCAGAGTTTGTATAATGGAAAATCTCTTTAAATGGTTTCTTTTTTTTCATGAAAGGCTTCGGTAAGAATTCGACGAAATACAGAGTCTCGATTGAATGAAAATAGAATTTCGTACGGAGTTATGTTTTTTTTTTTGTATTTGTGCAAAGATTCTCTTTGGTTATTATCAACGATACGGAAATGACTACTTTTCCTCCTCGTTGACGGAATGCGTGCGGCGAAATCTAATTCCCCGTCCAACGGAGCGGTGTATTATTTCCTGCCAACCGGTGTCGTGTCCAATTACTCTCGGTTCAATTTCAAGAATTACGATTTCGTCACGCGGAGCAGCCTGGAAAATCGGTCCGAGTCGCGAGAAACGAAAAGACTAAAACGAGCGATCGCGGCGGCCATTTGCCTAGGTCATATGCGACACACGACCGCGTCCATACAATTAATTATTGACCCGTTTTAATCGTGTTAGGTCTAATTAGCGGGAGGGGAAGGGAGAGTCCGTCTCAAAGTTGTTAATTAAATTGGTTAATGCGATAAAGGAGAGTCCATGCCGGAGTTCTCTCTAGTTCCCTTTCTCTTTCGCGTCTCTGTCGTCGGCCCCCTTCCAATCGTTCGTCTTTGGCACAGGAATATTCGTCGATTATTATTAATTACATCGGTTACGTCAATCGAAACTACCGCGTTTCTGGGTTAAAACGGAATCCATCGATGGGGAATTAACGAGAAAACAAACGTGCAAGTGAATCTAGAAAACATTCACACACTCGTGTCTCTTACAATAAACGTATTAACCCTTTGCACTTGGAATTTTGCTAATTCCCCATATATCGGAGATGACAGTCAAGTGCAAAGGGTTAAAATGCTAGTGTAGAAAATTGTAAAGTTATCATAGAAAAGCAATTTTTCGCAAATACCATCTATCTACCAACTGCACCAAGATTACTTAGAATTATTAGGTGTACCAATAAAGTAATTATTTCTGCTTCACAAACTGGAAACACAGTTTAAATTCAAGATCTCGCTGCACCATTTTCTTTTTTCAAAACGATGGCACACATTGTAGAACGAGGCCAAATACCACTAGAACAGCATAAGCTTCCGATTGCTTCGAAAATAAGCATTGAATTTGATGAAGTAGGTAGGGTGGGGGTTAGTTATTGGTACACATCGAGTTTCAGTATTAAAAAGAGTTTACATGTTCTTGAAATCACAGGAATTCTACGCGTACTGACCTGGCATAAACACGTGCCCTATAAATAATTCCACACGATCGAGAAATGCTCCGGCGATATCACGCGACTTCACGCGTGTTTCCGCCTTACTAAGGCGTCTCTACGCGATTCGATGTTGCAATGTTTACACCGTGGTGTATCATAATCCCATTGAGACGGCTACTATAATAAGAACTTCCATCGAACGGTTATCATAATACCGTTACGCATGTGTTTTCCGAGATTACAACAGGCCCCTACGGAATTACCGGGGTGAGGGAGGATGAGGAATTTCAGATCATTCCGCTATCGAATCGTTCCTCTGAATAATTACTTTAAAATAGATGCTTGTAATCGTTAACGGTGCACGGTTGGGTACAGGCGATACAGCTAACGGAATATCGGTGTTTTCACAAACTACGTCGTAACTAATAGCCTTGTTCTGTGTACGTACTTGAATCATTGTATCATTTTTAACCGTGTCGAAATTCTGTGTTCATCGATCGATGATGAATTCATCCGCGGTCATTTGCAACGTCCTCTGGTTTCCGTGAATTTTCGATTTGCAACCCAGAGTGGCCGGTGAAAGGGCGAAATATTAGACGTCGACGCAACAGACTTTTCAGACCGAATCGCTCGAGCTGGCGAGTACTCCTTTCACGAGGCGAAATATTAAGTAAAAGAAAAAAAAAAAAAGGAATCACGTTCGACTCGATCAACGGTATCGAGTTTCAACCGGTCAATACACACCATGTCGATATTACAAAACCGGGAACGATTATAACAGCGCGGTAAGACGATAGCGACCGATAATCATAAATATTCCTACCCACGATCCGTTTAAATCGATTCGAAGACACTGCAGATCAGCGATTTTATTACGCACAGTTCGACCTGAATAAAATCTGAATATTCTCCCGAGTGAACCAAATTGCCATCATTTAACACGCGAGCAATATCGTAAGTATGTGATTTAACCCTAGATTGCAGATTTTACGATTAGTGAATTTAAAATATTTCGACACGATTTCAGACATAGCGCATTATCATCGAATTTCCGTCTGTTTTGTACATCGATAATCGAACGTGTGATGTTACCTAGATCCCCTGGATTGCGTATTGCGTTCTTGCATCGACAGAGCCATAGATCGTGTATACGCGTCGTCCCGCGACACCTGTCTTGAAACAACCGTGATCCCGTTATGGAAACCCTCACACCGGCGGTCATTAATTGTAATTAATATCGGCGCCGATAATGGTACTTGACACTCCGTATATTGCCGGGATACGTATCGCGCGGGAGAAATGGTCGTGGTGTTGTGAGTGTGTAAATTTTCATCTTCGATCCGGTACGATCGATCCCTTAGCGGTCAATTTGTAGACTGGACCCCTCCGCGCGTTAAAAAGGGAAAGAAGCGCGCGCGTAGTGGTCCCCGGGAGTCATTAAAACCGGGCGAAAGGTATCGACGACGTGGATTAAACGTCGCTCGTTATACGTGTCCAGGTTGTAAATCGTCGTTGTAAATCAATTCGAGACCGGCGGAGGCCCAGCTGGACCGAGGCTGGCCTCTGATAAATTGGATTAACTGATTTACACTGAACGAGATTCGTCCAGGGGCCGGCGTCGATCATAATCACACCGCGTGCTTGGACACTGCAATCCTCGAATCAATTCTGGAGACCAAGAGACGTTTTTCTTTCTTTCTTTCTTTTTTTTTTCTGAATCGCGACCCTATTTCCGATTTTTCTTGCAGGCGAACCCATGCCAGCATCCGATCGTGATCTTGAGGGACGTTGCCTCGTCGGATATGGAGTCTTTGTTGCGCTTCATGTACCATGGCGAGGTGCACGTGGGTCAAGAACAGTTGGCCGCGTTCCTGAAGACGGCGCAGATGCTTCAGGTTCGAGGGTTAGCTGACGTCAACAGCGGCGCTGCGACAGCGAAGATCCCGCCGCCCTCGTCTTCTGGCGGATACAACGGTAGCGCTCCGGTGAGTTGATTTGTTCCCTTTTTTTATCGCGAATTCATAGGTGATCGTGGTATAATTTTTAAGCGGGAGAAAATTGGTTTAATCTCGGAAGGTCAGAATAGAAACATTATGACTCCCTCGTTGTGTGTTATTTCGTGGTCTCAAGTGGGTAGCAATTAACGTGGGAATGTTACAACCCCCAAAAATTTCTGAAGATCGTGACATATATAAGTTTGTTGGTAATCTGGGTGACAGGCGACGCCACGCAATCCTTGGCAAGACAACGGTAGAGGAGACTTGAACGAGAGTGCTCTAAGTCCGCCGCCAGAGAAGAGACCCAGAAGTCAGAGTCCGCCACTTGGTAACCATGTCGAGCCAAAGTCGGACCTTCAGGAATCGCTTTTGGGCCAGGCACTGGAAGGAGGACCCACGATACACACAACGCCCACCAATAACGTACAGGTATGGAGCGATTTTGATTGTCCGCTTTGAAGAAGGCTAGTTTGAATTGATTACAAGATGGAGATATGTCGTTGATCAGGCACAGTCTACCGGTGAGGACTCGAACTCGATGTCGGAGAACGAGGAGGACATGTCGAATAACGACAGTATCCTGAACTCCGTGAAGACGGAACCAAGCGACATCTTGAACGACTCCATGGAACATCATCGTAACTCGTTTCCGGCGGCGCTTTTGGGACTACCAGGTAGCGATCAAATTCACTTGACAGTCTCCGTGTTTTTTTTTTTTTTTTATTAAAATATCACAATTTTAAATTCCTGGACGTAGAATGTCATTTCATAAGTATTCGGAATCTACAATAACTCGAATTTAGTGACAATTGATTGTTAAATCGATCGTGTATTTTCTGTAACTGTGTGTGCCCTGTCATCTGATTTGTGGAGATTAGATGATGATCACGATCGTAATTGACGATTCCAGGACTGATACCAGGACCATCGGGGATCCACGCGGCGAATCAGGATCCGAATTACGGTAAGTAATCAGACCAGCAAATACGATTTTTCACAGTTTATTACAATTTCATAGCCCAGACTTAGTATCCTCCCGTCGTTCCCTCAAGACTCTGGTCTCTCGTTGTTGCGTTGAATGCATGGAACTCTCGTACCTCTCACAACCCTGCATCCCCTTGCCCAAACTATCCCTTGAATAAAAGAGAAAAGAAAAAAAAAAGAATAAGAAATAGAAACAGAATAATCATTAGTAACACGGTGCGAGAGCGCAACGTGTGTTGTGTCGGCGGAGCCGCGTCTCCGAAACGGCTCTCTTCGAGTCTCGTTTGTCGGGATTATCGATTTCCTTCGCAAAGGCCTCTGCAGTCGCTAGAACATTTGTTAGGGTTGCCATGCAAAGCCGAGCTTGACTCTCTTTACTCGAATTCTTAACGACCCTTCGAACCTTGCCGAGGCTAACACGAGCTAATTGGTCGCCTCTCGGTAGACGAGGTACGCATACACGATCGACCGTTCGAGTAGCATTCTGGAAAAAAAGAAAAAAGAGAGAGGGTTCGGAGGTATACGGAAACACGGCAAATGAAGAAGGATAAAAACATACACAGAGCACACGTTACCGAAACGACGGAACTCGTGAACAAATATAGAAAAACAACGAGAAAACAACCGAATAAAACAATATATATGTATACATATATCATTGAACAAAAAGTGCTACCTTCGGATATAGACACACAATCGGGGGAGGGGGAAAAAAAAGCGAGGAACGAAACGCCGAAAAATACAGAACCGAGAGAGAGAGAGAGAGAGAGAGAGAGAGCAAAACACACGAATGGGCTGTGGGAGGCACGGAAAAAAAAATTGAATAGTGTTTAAGGGATCGGTACGAGATTGGCTGAGGACTGACATTGGCTGGTGGTTCCAGGGCGATGGCAGCCCTCTGGAGGAGACGGTTCAAGCTCGAGTTCCGGTTGGTTGCCGGGCACCACCACGTCCTCGACGAGGAACGAGCACGCCGGGTCTGGGGCATACCAGAGCGGAGCTCACAACTCGAAAGGGCAGGATCTGTCGTCTCTCCTCCAGCAGCAGCATCATCATCACCGCCACCACCTGCACGCCACCAGCCAACCGTCATCGCAGCAACACGCCCTTAATGCCTTGAATTCGCTGAACAGCTTGAATACCGAGCAGCTGACGATCATGCATCAAAAGCTCCAGAACAATCTGCAGAGCTTGCAACAACAAACATCAGCGAAAAGTGAATTGAATCTGATGCTTCAGTCCTGCGCCAAGGAGAAAATCGAGAGTATGGCGCTGTTCCATCAGCAGACCCATCGTCGTTTCCATCAGCCCCAACAACAACAACAGCAGCAGCAGCAACATAATCAGCCGGATAACGGAAGCCAGTCTGGTAAACCTAAGTGTCCAGAGTGTGGGAAAATATATTCGAACAATTCGAACCTGAAGCAACACATCGTGAACGTGCACACGGTGCAGACAGAGTACGTCTCCTGTCACGTGTGCAATAAACAGTTCAAAACGAAGCAATACCTCCAGATACACCTGTTGTCTATGCACGGTATCAGGAAACGGAAGAGTTACCCTCTGTACCAGATACAGGCGCATAGTCAATCGCAACAGCAGACTGTGTCGACTGGTGGACAGGCTTCCGCCGGTCAACAGTCCCAACAACAGTATCCAGCTCCGGACAGGTGGTCCGATGAAAAACAGTGACTGAAAACGTGTATCGTTGATCGATTAGAAAAACGGTGTGGAACCTCTGGACCTCTAAACTAGTGGCTAGAAGGGATTAAAGACCAGGGTCGATAAAAGTGGATGCTGGCTATCTGCATTCGGTACTCGACCCTGCTGGGACTTGAACGATCGATATGATCGGATTTAGGAGACCTCGCAATAATCGTCGTAGGCGGTTGTGTACATACGATGTACAATTGTATAGGGAAGTAAGAACGGTAGATAGATTCTCTTTTTTTCCTTTCTTGGTTTCTTTTGATAGCAAGGATAAAAGGGGCTGGAGGTGGCGATAGGGTGCGGGAGGGGAAGGCGAAAGAGGGTGCTGATACGAGGATTGGCCGACCTATTTTCGTATTGTACCGCAGTGCGCAGCCAATCCTTCCAGGCTTGAGATAAGTAAGCCTCCGCGATTGGACGGGAAAGAGGGGCTCGAAATGCTTCCCGTGGAATATTCTTATCGGTATAAGTGGTGGGAATAGGAAAGAGGATGCGTCGGCCTGGTTCCGTTGATGGAGTAATTCACGGGGAACATCGAATAGGGCTGGGCGTTCACCCTTTGTGCGAGCTTTAGGGAAACGTAAGGGGAATATACTGAGAATCGTTTATTTTTCCTTTCGTCGGTTCTGCTTCTAATGATCGCCGTGTCGTTTAATCATGGGTGAAACAACTTCCCGTTTGAAATTATCAAATTAATCCTTAATTTAAGATGTCGACTTGAATTGGTCTCGAGTCGCAGTATGCGATGAGGATAGAAATATGCAATGAGCCTCTGGAAATGATGGAGTTCTTAAAAAAGAAAAGAAAGTTTGCTGACCGATTCGTAACCCCTTACAAAAGTGATTTAAATGTCATATCAGTATTTTCTCAGATGTTTCGCAACTTTTATTGCAATATATAAATCCAGAAATTAGTTAATTCATCCATTTGGATATTTTCAACAAGCATCGCCTTTTACCAACGTGGCGGAAATAGAAACACGTTCATCTTCGGTAGTTGTATTGTTAATTGAATATCTTTCTATATTTCACCTCTTGTTAATACACTTGGAAAAATTACAGAATTTTTTCTTAAGAACACCATCTTCTTCAGACTATCTGCCCATTCTTCAAATCTCTTCTGATCGACGCGTTAATAATGTTTATCACCGTACGGAAATGGAACGAATTACATATTTACAAAACGAAACTAGATCCAGCGCACAATAATCCAGCAACGCTGGTGCTTTACCGCGCACCTGTGCTTTTAAAATATCGACGGCTGTGCTAAAACCAGTAGGCAGAAACGGCGACGGAGGAGTTTCCATTTGCCTCTCGGGTCGGTTTTCGTCTTGACGCGTCCCGTTCCCGTGTGCACTCGCGTACTTTGAGGGCACCACACGTGCCGAGCGCACACGTACACACACATACGTGGCGAATGCCTGCGCACATTTAGGCTCACGGAATTACAAGGCAGAAAGAGATAGAGTGGGTTGTATTGATCTCGAGGATTCAACAAACAGCACCTACTCTGCCTCCACCCGCTACTCCTTCCTCTGTACAACTTCGCCTTACTCTTCCACCCTCGGCGCCTCTCTCTCCCTCTTTCTCTTTCGTTCGTTCTCTCTACGTATTCCGCACCATTCGGTTCGGTTCGTGGACAGAGTTTGATGAGGGCAACCCTCTCCGATAGCGTTCTGTCCCGTCTCATTGTCAGGTATAGATTGCCACTGATCATTAACTGCCCTACCGTTTAACCCCTTCAAGGGTCGAATTTTTTTTTTTTAGGAAATTCAGGGGAATCGATGTTCGGGGTTTCTAGAAGACTTAGATTGTTTTAGGGATATGTAGGTAAAAACATTTACGTTGACAAGGGAAATTAATAGAAGATATAGAAGAATTGTTAAGACTGAAACTTAGACTGCAATAATGAATATGTTTAAGAAGACCTTATCCTATCGATATAATTACGTTTTTAGTTTATAGTATTTCATTGATGCGAGCAATGCAGAGTAATTGTTTTGTGTAATATGAATGCGCGTATGTAACGCTAATGATGTAAAAGGGGTAACTCAACTTTGTAAACTGAGGGTAGTTTTGTTTCCAAACAGGGAGCTGTAAGGCTGTAGACTAATCCTTATGTCGAGCGTTTAGAAATAAGTTTCTTCCACAAAATAATTATTCTTTAGTGTTATTCAAGTAGACTTTCGCGGTGGAAACAATCCTTCCTACATCGTTCATTCCAATTCGCGAATAAAACGATTCATCGTTAACGGGCCAAGTGACTCGGCCCCGAATCATCGGATCACCATTTTTCGGAGAAGGGTGGTGGAAGAGAAGAAAAGTTGTACGTGACACGCGATACCCGCCCCTATGAGTGTCGGCCACGCGATCCTAGCTCATGGATTCGGCCCTATCACCCTCGTTGCGAACCCCTGGCAAAACAAACCCCGACGGCTTATCCAATTCCACGGTATTTCCACGAATCTCTTCCATCTCCTGTCCTTCCGTGCCACCCAACCCCCAACTTGCTCGCAGTTCCGACGTAATGGAGGTGGAGACTCGCATTTGTTCCCGACACCCTAACCCTTCTTCGTTCACCACCACCCCACTCTTGCCCAGACCCGCTTTTTGCCTGGCCGTTTCCTTCTGCTTTCTTCGTTTTTACCTTCGCCCCCGCAATCCCTGCCATTCAACCGCTCGGCTGGCTGGCTCACCCGCCGCTCTATCCTTATATCGTGCCAACGGCGTGAAACTGCGTCACCTCTGAAAGCCAGACGCGGTTAAAAGCGTTCCGATGGAGAGGGTATCACCCTGGAGGTTTCTGACCGTGGACGTAGAAAATCGTTCGGTTTCCGCTACGAATGGTGCTCCGCGAAACGGTGAACACTTTAACGATTATCGTCGCATCTTTGTATATCTGGCAATGGTTTTTGTCTTTGAGACTGTCAAATCTTCTAGGGCCCCCTTGGTTGAAAAAGGGAGGAAGGGGTAACGAATGTTCGTAATAGAACGTACAATAAAATGCATAAATCTTCAGAAATTAAAATTTATTCTAAATAAAATTAAATAACACTTAATCATAACGAAATGGAAGGCCTTGAAGAGGACCCACTAGAAAGTGGAGCTTATGTCTACAGTCTTCCCTAGAGAATCCAAAGTTTGGCTAGATTTAGTTGCCGCCAGAGTACAATTGTCATAGGAGAATATTTTATTTTGTATAAAAGTTGAAAAGTCACGTATTTTGTATTTTTCTAGGTAGACGTAACTCCGTAAATCGGTTATTGTTAAC